TACCCAGGTGAAAGTTGTAAGCTTACATCACTGTTACCTGGCACAGCAGACAAGCGTGCCAAGTCACGCTCCTCAGTACCACGAGGGAACGGGGGAAGGAGGCCAGGCTGTACAGCTCACACCAGGGACTCTTCCCCCCCCCCAGCCATCCCAACAGGCACTCTTTGCCACATCTAGCCAAGGCCAGCGTGGCAGGTAGTCACCTGTCAGTGACTAATTCATGCTGTGCTTCCCCTCAACTGACACCAGCAAGCACCAGTGCACGACCCTTCCCCACCTCCAGCAGCTTGTTGCCACCCATACACTTCCCACTCCCTTACTGCAGCACAGACAACCCCAGCAGGGTTTAGCTGTACCATGGATGCGATGAAGAAACCAGTTTGGGTTTACTAAAACAGCAAAACAAACAACCGACCACACCCCCCACAAAAACATCCCCTAATCAAACTCACAAGTTCATTTTTAGCAAGATTAGTGTCCAGATGCGCTTCATGGCATGACGGCATGCAAACACACCAGGAGGAGGACAGGAACAAGCAGCTAGGAGGACTACTTTGGGCGGCAGTGCCAGCTGGAAGCACCTTGGTAGGTCAGCCCCTGCTGACTGCCTTTACCATCGGTGAAGAGCCACAGGCTCTGCGAGCCACGGATCAGGAGGCAGCCCCCACCCCTCCTGCAGCCGCAGAGCAGCCCCGGACACTGCCCAGCCAACTTCATACCTACGCCTGGACACAACGACCCTCCTTTCCCACAGGGTCTGTGAGTGTTTGGGTAACACATTTGGCACCATTTCAGAAAACCGAAGGGAGAAAAGGACACAGGAAAAAAACCCTGTAAGAGAGATAAAGTCGTCAACAAAGGAAAAACTAAGCAGACACATATGTAGGAACACTAGGAATGAACTAACAATCCTTTTAAGGATGTACCACAAAACAAGATTCATTACAGATAACTCTAAATATTTTGGATTTGTTTAAGAAACATGCTCTTAGTTGTTTCTTTCACACAGCTAAGAAGAATGTCCGTCTGCTTGCTTTTGGAGCCACCATCCCCAGCAGGGAAGTCTGGCCCACGATGGCAGCAGCTACCTTACTGACCTGAGCCGAAAGACAAGAGCATGCTCTCTTGCAGCAGTTAATAAGCAGGATTGGAGGAGAAATGAAAAGGAGAAGAAATGCAGTTTACTTTTAACCTGTGGGCTACGGTTCAAGCTCAGGAGTTAAAGACACAACGCAAGAACCCCCAGCAGTGCCCTGCAGCAACCACACTCCGCTAGCACCACTGTGAAGCCCAGCCCTGCACAGCCAGGAGAGGGGAAGCTTCAGCAAGTACAGCAAGTGTAAGCCCCAAGCAAACTCCGAAGGCTAGAAAGGTTTTATAGTCATGACCATCCTCATCCATTTCTACTACTTAAATCCACAGCGAGCTGTAACCAGCGTCACCGGGACCACGGCAGTACTGCTGCTCTTACACACCAGCTTTCCTAAGCCCCACAGACCACCAAACCTCTCTGGCAATCTCTTTGGCATAGATACCATGAGTCATATGTTAGTTCCATTGTCTTTATTGCAAATATACATTAGCTTCCCCCGCTCCCCCAAGAAATGAGAGTCACCTTGGACTTCATGTTAACCTTGTACTAGGCCAGTATAGCAGAGAGCATTGGTGTCCTTGCAGAAGCCATTCATAATTTCTCATTGTAATTCAAACTGGCATTTCCTAGAATCACAGAATCGTTAAGGTTGGAAAAGACCCTTAAGATCATCGAGTCCAACCGTTAACCCAGCACTGCCAAGCCCACCACTAAACCATGTCCTCAAGCACCACGTCTACCCGTCTTTTAAATACCTCCAGGGATGGGGACTCAACCACTTCCCTGGGCAGCCTGTGCCAGGGCCTGACTGCCCTTTCGGTGAAGGAGTTTTTTCTAATATCCAGCCTAAACTTCCCCTATTTGTAGCAAGTCATGTTATTTAACAGCCATACTTACTAGATGTTCTGCTTTGATTTTAATAAATTTTAACTAAATGAATCAGTTCTAAAATCTCATCCTTTTGAGAAAGAATCATTTGACAGATACATCCACTGCTGCAAAAACCAAGCCAATAACAAAAATAACATCCAAGTCCATTTACTTGCAGAGTTTGCAAGGGGGAATGCCACTAATCCTTCTGATTCGGAAAGAATACCCTCCATCAAGGAAACTATTCATGCAGAAACACAAGAGTTGCACTCATCAAATTTTGTACAGCCTAGATTTGCAAGGAATAGAAGCCTCGATGGCGTATTTAGTTACTGATGGAGCATTAACGTGTGTCTCTCATAAAACAAAAAAACCACAAACACGCACAGGTACTTTTCTAAATCCACACAAGGTACACATTTATCTTCATGTTTCAGCTAAAAAGAATGAATGTGGAAAAAAATAGTCTGATGCGTGTTTTTAATGAAACTTGACATTAAATTTAAAATCTAGTAAAAAGAATTTTATATTGGAGTTGAAAACAGGGAGTTCAAGTAAACAGCTGTCCTGAAGTATCAAACATTTTCCTTCCTACCTTCTGAAAGATAGTATCTTCTAAGAGAAAAGAAAATAACCATCTGCCAATAATTACTCCTACTCCTCTAATCTTTGTTTTTAACTTCAGGGAAAGCTACACTTTGTACATCCAAAACTTTAAACTGATACATCTCTCCCACAGAAGACAGACTCAAAGCAAATGGATCCTGCACAACCGACGGAGCTTAAACTCGGAGGTGTGCAGTCTGAAGCTACCGAATCCTAACAAGCCACCACTTGTCAGCTGGACCATGACAACAGACTACCTACCAACTCTTACTCCATCCATTTTCACAAACTTACTTGACATTTAACATGAGCTTGTCCTATTTTGTAATTGTGTTTGGCTAAGGATTGACAAGTGTTCAGCTCAGCTAAAAGTCCACAAGAGCTCCAGCTGGCTAACAAACAGTAACTCACTAAGTCACAATAAACTCGGTTGATTTCAATGGTAAGACCAAATGCTTCAGGCAAAATTGTTCAATTTACATTTAAATTGTTTTAAGTATGTCACATTACGACAACAAAACAACCAGCACAAATGTGGCCTAATCCTTTTAAAATTACTGGTTAAACTGGTGTACCTTTCCCATATAGATACACTCTGCAAAACGTCCAGAGACAACCACAAAAGGATCTATGAAGCTTTCATCAATCTTTCTAAGGTTATTCGACATCTGTGATACGCAAAATGAAATTCTGAAATGAAGGACTGATAGTTAACAGCTTTGGTTGCTGTTTCCCCCCCCAGTTAAAAAGTTGAAGTATAGTAAGTGTTTAAGTTACAGAAAGGAATCCATGAGATCCTTCAGCAGAACACTAGTAAAAATCAGCAGAACACTACTCCATTTGCATTCTGGCTTTCTCATCAAGATCCCTTCAAGATCAAACTATTTCCATTTTAAAAGAACCAAATCATTATTGCCTCACAAAATTTCTATGAGCATAGTTTTGAGTTTCATGTACAATTGTATAGTCACAACATTAAATACTTGCAAAACTCATGTTCTTAAATATAAACACAACCATTCCACACAGATTAAATCTGAAAGCGTGAAATACTTTAAGCAACATTGGAATAGTAAAAAAAAATTTTCACTTTTCAAACAGCAGAGGAAAAAAAAACCCTAGTATTTAATACAATTGCTACCAGAATGCAAGACTCTTGTAGGGCACAGGAACGACCCCCAGCAATTGATCTTGGGTATTCGATAACTTACGAAATACCACACAAAATTTCAATTGCTTCATTTCAGAAGGAAAAAGCACCATTCATCTGCTAGCATTAAAGGAGCCGGAAGTATCAGGAAATACTGAGGCATCTAACTATTTTCAAAAGGAAATGTGCTTGTCCAACTGTTCACACAACACAAAAATAAACTGGAATATTTATTAGCCCAGAGAAACCAAACCCATGACACCCATAAAAACATTTACACCTGATCAAATATATTAAATAAAGCAGCTCCACAAATCAGTTTTTCAATTAAAACAACCATGAAGTGACTTCATGAAACATTAAGGAACAGTATGAGACATACTAGTAGCACCAGAGTTTCAAATGAAGTGTTTTACTCTAAAAATAGTTGCGTATTTCAAGTGTTTAACCTGCCTGTATGCTAGGGCACAAGATATCTGCTTCTGGGAAGTTACAGCACAAAAGTTAACTCACAAGGTCAATAACTGAAGAAAACCCTGCTCTCACATGTCTCTGTTCTTTAACAGCATTGGGAGAATTATCCAGAATTTCCTTAGGAAAGCACTAAAATACAAAACAAAATTGGTATTTGAATTTTTTGAAGTAGTCGACTAGAAAAATACTTTCAGAAAGCCTGTAAACATTTACAACACAGTATCTGTATTAATACAACATTATTACTTTCAAGGTCAGTATTACACATGCAGTTTCTTGGAGCTACATATTTTGGTGTTATTTTTAACATCTGACAGAGCATCTTGTACTGTTGCAAGCTCTACACTGTTTACAAATACTCCCAAGCTGCAGCTGCTGATTCTACTAGCATATCTTGCCAGAGCAAAAAGAAGAGTAATTTTAATTATCCAGTAATGGCATTTTTTTTACGGTACTATATGCATTACATTGTTCTGTAGACTGGTTTTGTAATTTTTCCACCTTTCGAGGACTACATAGAACAAGAAGATTTGGTTACAAGGACATCCATTTCTACAAAAGGTCAAAAAAGTCCAAGCATAGTTGGGAAACACATCTAACCCTGTTCAGATTATGGATGAACTCTGCTCCCTCTCGTAGCAGGTGCTATTTCAGGAACTTCTACATTTGGTTTACTTTTTAAAATTAAAATGCAGAGATTAAAAAAAAGCCGTTTCAAAACCAAATGTCAAGTTTATGTTTTAATTCTTCATTCGCCAAAATACCTAACCACAGGCATAACAGTATAAGGTAATAGCAAAAACTTACCAACACAAGCATTTAGAAACAGCCAGTCAGTCTTTTTCATTCTATTTTTTATTTGCTTTAGTTTTTTGAAGTCAACTTCAAGTTCTTCCTTGCTGCCAACAGCTCCAGCCAATTCAATTCTTTGGAAGTCCATTTTCACGTCAGATTCACGTTTGGTTGTAGGTGGAGATCTTCTTTGGCTATTACCACTACTACAGCTTCCTCTCCATCGAGCTCTGTCTTGCTCGTTTATGATTGAAGAAGCCTCTTCCGTGTCCGCCAGTTCTATTGCTTCTATGTTGTTAGGTCTGGGATGATCACATACAACACATTTCCTGGCCTTCGCCCAGTTTTCATATGTACAAACAGAACAAGTCCAGTGCTGAGCCCTTGTGTTTAGTTTATTTCTGTCATTATATTCCTCACACGGATCAACAGAAAAAGGGACCGGTCTTGAACCAGAACCTGAAGACTGAGGAGACTCTGTGGGACTCCTGGTCCTACGTTGAGACAAGCACTGAGTACACCTTATCGCTCTTGGCCAGTTCAAGTATGTGCACATGTGGCACGACCATTTATTTGCACTTTCCATACTGTACGATGATTTAACCCTTGGTCTTGCACTAGAATCTGGACATATCAAAGGACTACTCCCTCCTTCAGTGCTCGTAGGATCCCAGTCTCTACCAATATCACTTGAACCACTTTTAAATGGATCTTCTGTGATAATTGTTCCACTAGGTCTCTGAGCACGACACATGGTACATTTGATTGCAGATGGCCAATTTTCATATGTACAATACTCACAAGCCCATTTAATTCCACGCTCTGTCATCGTGCACTTCTTGAAATGAACTGCTTCAGGCAGAAAGCTAGGTAATCAGAATACATCATTAGTACACAATGGTTGCATAGGAGCTCTGTTTCAAAAAAAAAAAAAAAGTAAATGAGATTTAACCCAGTTGATGTGTACTGCACCAAATATAAAAATCAGGCTGGGCAAGTGGGCAATCTTTTTTTTCTTGATACTATTAGAACATCTAGGGGGAGAAAAACCACTATGAAAAGCATAAGACGTGAGCTAACAGCATTTTAAATGCAGAATTCAGGATCTCTCAGTGCAGAAATGAAAGGAAAACTCAGTCCTGCATTTCTGAAATTTCTTAAATTTGCACAGAGGCTTCCAAAACAAATTCAGAAAATAGACATGCATTAAGCACTGAGAATACTGGAGAAGAGACCAGAACGGCCACAGAAACGAGTCACAAATATTAAATTATTAAAATAAAACTCAATATGAATACAGCAGCACAAGAAAAGGAACACGAAGTCTAAATCCTGTGAGGTCTCTTTTGCAAGACCTCACAGAATTTGGAAGGAAGAAGTGTATCAGGTGGGCAGTTATACAATGAGTAAGCAGTTCTTTCCGAAAAGCAGGGTGTAGGAGTTTACATAAAATGCATATATTTGAAAATTTTATACGTGTGCTTAACCAAGACTAGGCCTTGATTGGACAGCACTCGTACCAGTAGTGTTACAAAGTTAAAATACCACTTGAAAGCAAGCACACAAGCTGTGTGTGTTGACAAGCTAACATAGTATTTTCATTTTACAAATCCAGATTACAATCCAATTCCAACTCACTTTTTCTCTAATGAAGAGGGGATTCTGTCTTCATGCTGGCTCAGACCTTTTCCTCAGATTGCCAAATACGAAGGATGAGACTAAGCAGATAACTATTCCTGTAAACAAAATGAAAACAGACTCATTATAGGTTTCCTACTGGACCTGAGTAACCAGAAAGTTAATTATTAAATGCCACACCTCTTCTGATCCCAATTTACTTGTTTAAGCTCAGTCGTGACCTGCTGAGACTAACATATAGGCTGGTTAAAATAAACCAATAAAGAACTAGTCACCACACAAGCGATCAATCTGCTGAAGTAAAAGAATTAGATCCAAGCAACGTCAAATTCACACCAAAACATCCAGAAACACTCTTATTGGAATCTGAAACTTAGGACGGGGAAGGGAAAAAAGCTTTGATCCCCTCCAGTTTGTGTCGCAAGCATAGCAGAGGGAAAGGGTGAGGCAGGTAGCTAAACGACAAATAGAAAAATATATACAGTCTATTTCCTCCCTTACCACAGAATCCTTATCCAACATACTAGACTCTATGTACTATTTTTAAGCATGCAAAACTGTTTAAAATAAAAATTTTTCAAATCAATTGACTGACAATTCTTATTCATCACATTGGGTGTTTTTGTTATCCAAGAGAGTTGCAGAGACTAGTAAACAAAAACTCAAGCGAGAAGTTACACAACAAGATTAAATTCAAAACTAGACACATCGAACTCAAAATTAGTTTACACCTCTTCTCCAATTAGGAAATGTTTTAGGAGTTGGTACATCCTTTACTGAAATACCTTCGCACATACCTTGCTCTACCAAGGCACAGCTAAATGTCCACTTGAATTTGTTGCCCTTATTGCTACTATCTCCCTTCGGTGGACTCCAGCAGGCAGCACAGGGTTGTTTTTTTTTTCCAACAGCTCGACTCTGATCTATTCACCAGATCAGGTGGCTGCATGAATGAGGGGCTATCGCATGGCCAGGACAGAGGGGAGTGCAGGACTATCCTTTTCAGCAGCGACCCATATTCGTGCTGCATGAAAGCAGATGAGCAATCAGGAACACATAAAGCTTTCTCATAAAGGTTGGGTTCCAACGTTACTTGTTTGAACAGCCTGCAGAGCACTTCACTCCCACCTATACGTTATAAAACTGTGTCAGACTAAGGAATGTGCTGAGAAGGCAATTAGACTTCCTACTGCTTCCCCTCCACCGTTCCTCATAAACGTCCGTGCCCGTGCATAATGGAAAAAAAGGAGCGAGATCATACGAGGGCCCCCATACCTGTAATAATATAAGTGAAAAATATATACATATACAAGAGAATACAAAGTCAACTTGATTTTACTAAAGGTGACTTTGTAAAGAAGACTTTTCAGGAACTTGGAGGAAAAACAGTTTCTCTACTCCATAAACAAACTAAAGTTTTGCTAAAACACCTCCTATATGAGTACACTATATGCTAGATTTATCTACTCCGCTTGGTCAAGGCTTTTTTCCCCAATTCCCAAAATAAGTTTCTTAATGACTTTAACATTTCGTAATAAGCTTGTTCTCACTATAAACTGTAGAGAGCTTTCTGAGACATTAACGTTTCCTAGTTAGGAACTGAAGACAGTTGAACATGGTTTTCAGAAAGGAGAAGGAAGCAGCGCACCGTCCGTGCACCTGCCAACTGCCACCAACAGATCCGCCAAGAGCAGTTTCGCTTGGGCCACCAAGGACAACCAGAAAGTGGCTGTCCCAAGACTTCAATGCCCCACACAAGCTTCAGAATAATTTCTACCCGAGCAGAAGCTGGTATGTTTTCAGTAGGTGATGCTTTCAATCAAAAGCTAGATCAGCATACGATGTGTGCTGGAGCCCAAGTGGGATCTGCGACTGTAAACGGTGTCTTTCCTGCCCTAGTTTGTAAAGCCTTAAACCCAGCAGTTCCCACTGCAAACAAATCCCAACTCACATTTGGGATGGGGCGAGAAAACAAAGCATAATCTGTTTTACTGACATTAAGGCTGGGAAAGGAGATTGCTGCTCAAGTTGAAAAGCAGCTGGTTGCAAAAACAATCTAAACAAATACTATTTATGAAACTAAACAGCACAGTACATACCGTGTTACAGAAAAGCTTTCACATGTATCATGAGATTAGGTTTTTAGCTGCAATTATTCTCTGCGCCCCTTAAAAAGCTAGATGCTTTCAGATATAATTCCTAGAGAGGCTGAGTATCTGCAGCTTCAAAAGCCGCCGAGATACGAGCTCACCACCTCCGAACACGAGGCCTCGCATTATTAGCAAGCAAAGGAGATAAAAAGGCTCAATGGAGCAATGCAATTTCTCTTATTTGATAGCTCTGCCAACACCCACTACAGCACAGCCAGATGAGAAAATTTAGCAGTTGGACATATTGGGTTTTTTCTACTTTTAGGTCTTGGTCTGACCCCCAACTGCACCCCACCCCCGGGCACCAGAACCATCCCATTTACTGGTGATACAGGACCATCAGCCAGCCACTGAGCAGTCTGAAGCCTGTTACATTTTTTCAGAATTACTTCTTTGCCTCTCTGTCTTCAAGTAAACTTGTTATTTTAGATTCTTCACAGAGGAGAAGTTGAATCACGTAGTACCTCCTCTCGGAGAAATAGCACAACAGTGACTGTGAGGTGCGGGTGCATGCCTTAATGTCCAAAAAGCATGAGCAGACAAGAAATTAAAACCCACAAAACTCCAAGCAAGTTCCAATTGATCAGTTTATATGGTGTGCTAAATACCTTCTGGACTGACTAGTAGAGTAACTCAGTACATTAAAGAGAAGAATATATTAAATTCTGATAAATTAAGTAACAAAGACAAATCAAAACTTTATCAGACTACTTTTTTATTAAATAAGGTCAGCCAGAAAAGGTCACCTAGACCAGTCACAAATTTTTCTTTTCCTTTAAGAATATTCTTCTTTTTAGGTACATGGGAGAACACAAAATGGCACACAGAAATTGGGAAGAAACAATGAAGTCCTCAAATAACATTTTTGTGACAGGATATATTATACTCCCCTCAATTTAATTATTCCCTGTGTCCAGAAGTTAGTTTTCCTTCGGCTCCGACAAGGAACCATATGGAGCTCCATTTCATCAAACGGTCAAGCCCTTCCCCGTACGCAAGCCAGATGCCAATTTAGACCAGTCTACACTATGGATTTTCTGCTGGGATGGTGCTGGCATCTGTGCTGGCACAAACTTCACATAATTATACTGATCACATCGGTGTTCCCACCTTAACTAGTTTTGCTCACGCATACAGATTTTCGAACAAAGCTAACTGCTTCTGTATTTACAGGGAAAGGGAGCTTAGGTATCAACTTAAGCCTTCAGCAAGAAGAGATCCACCCTCCTTCCCCTCGCCGTAGCTGCCTCTCTTAGGCTGCTCCAAAAAGAAAGGCAGGCTGGTTTGTTAATTTTTATTTTAAAAACACTGAAGCAACTTTTCAGAGGAACAAAATAAGCAGAAGCACCTTGTTCTGAAAGAAAGAGAGGTCTCTCTACCCAAACGCAGAATCTATTAACTCAACATTTTACGAGTGCAGAAGTAACACCTTTCACACACCCAGCCACAAAAAGGAGCGGAGAGGAACGGGACTGCGAGTCAAAGCGAAAGACCAAACAGCAGCACTTTCACTGACTGTATTCTTTATGTATTACGAAACATGGTGTATTTAAATCTACATCTACCAAGAACGGGTCTCAATCTGACAGCTGTAATTGCTCACTAACAGCTGGATAATCTTGCTGTGAAGTTTATATATACACATGATGGACAAACAGCTTTTCAAGAAAAACTGCCTATGATTAACCCCGCATAATTTGACACATTTTCAGAAGTGTTCGCCCTTGTACGTCACTACCTCAAGTTCTCTTCCAATTACCCATAAAAAATTAGCATACTTCTTAGAAAACTGAAGTTCATTTATGCACAAATAAGCTTTCTAATTAAAGCTGTAAAAGGAAAACCTGTTAAAATCACACATCTGGATTATCACCTTAAATGGTTATGTTAAAATATGCACTAGTCTGAATTCAGATACTTGTAGCTGGTTTTGTTCTGCAAAACTGCAGAACGTTTTTAGAAGATGCACAAGATGAATCTGAGTCAACTGTTCACAGCAGGAAACAAAGCAATGGTTTAATTTCACTGTTTCCAAACAAATACATTCATAAACACTGCCACTCTGTTGCTGACTCTAACCATGCTATCTTTCTAAAGCTCATATAAGCTGTATCAAGGGACTCAAAAGTTTTGCCAGTTTTTCAATACAGCCAGTAGGAAGGTCTGGAAGATAACAGAGCTACACACAAGCTTAAATCAAAAAGGCCAATTTGTTTCTTTCAAACTTGTAAACTCTCTGAAAGCCTCCTCAATGACTTCTTACAGAAAAGACTGCTATTTAACCGGCTCAAATTCACTTCTGTTATCTGGGTCCAAGGATCCTTGTGAAGTATAACACTGTCAATACACTTCAACAAAAACACCTTACATTTTTAAATAACCTATTTGAAATTTGTTGCCAAGTATTAAGAATCGATTTTCACATGAAATTTGCCTTGCCTAATTTTCCAAGGTGGAATTTGACTGACACTTTCTTCTCTTAACTTACTAAATTTACTTACTCCACCTTCAACTATTTGCTATTCCTGCATGACTGCTTTCTCAAGAATTCAGTGTAAGCCTCAACAGATCAGTATATTAGAAGCATAAAACTTGAACCTAGGCTTCTATAGTTTGAAGGGAGCTAACAATAAGTTCCTTTGTTGTCTCTGCAAATTAGTTTAAAAAAAATTAAGAACGTTGACCTTGTCAATGGGACAACCAAATCAGATCAGCGCTGAATCTGGAAGCTTTGCGGTAAGGGCAGTAACTATGTATTATAATAAAGAACGGAAAGGTTAATGCAAAGTCACAAATGTAGAAGCATTTTCTGTATTAGCCTGAATACACTAAAGGAAGGAATTTAAGAGGTAAGCATAGTTTGCTTTGGTTGTTAGTTCCTTAAAAATGAAAGGATACTGTCCCAAACACATCAGCAAAAAGGAGGACATAATCCGCCATCTCAGGAAAAGA